TTTCTCTCTTTCTTTCTTTCTTTTCTTCCTTTCTTTCTTTCTTTCTTTCTTTCTTTCTTTCTTTCTTTCTTTCTTTCTTTCTTTTCTTTTCTTTTCTTTTCTTTTCTTTTCTTTTCTTTTCTTTCTTTTTTTTCTGGGCTATTTTATATTTTCTTAACATTTTGGTTAAATTAACATTTTGTTAATTTTGACAAATTGTATTTTTCAAAGAATTTATACATTTTATGTTAAATGTTATTGGTATAAGGTTGTTCATAATATCTTATTTTTTACATTAAGGCTCTGAAATGATGTCGTCTGTTTCATTTCTGATATTGGTGATTTCTTTTTTTCTTTCCTTAATCAACCTTGGTTTAGCAGATTTAATACTTCTCAGAAATCTGATGTGTGGCTTTGTTGATTTTATGTTTTGCATTTGTTTTCTATTTCATTTTTTTCTTTTTACTCTTTTCCTTCCTTCTACTTTCTTTGAATTCTATTTGCTGCTTGCTTTTGAACTTTTTGAAATAGAAGCTTAGATACTGATTTTCATCTTCTAATACATTTAAGGTATAAATTCCTTTAAAATCATTGCTTTAGTTTTATCTTGTGAGTTCCCATAAGTCATTTTTATTATCAGTCATTACAAATATTTAAAAATACCTGTTGTGATTTATTTACTTTGTTCAACTTAATGGGTATTTAGAAGTATATCACTTAATTTTTAAGCAGTGGGAGATTTTCTAGATTAAAAAATACTTACATCTAGCTTAATTGCTTTGTGGTTGGGGAATATACTCTGAAAGATTTCAAAATTTGCTGATACTTTTATGACCTAACATATGGTCCATTTTGGTATGTGTTTTGTGTTATAGTTTGTTTTTATTTGGAAGAGAAATTTGCTTATATATATTCAAGTCTAGTTATTTAATCATGTAGTTCAAATATATCATAGTTTTTTTTTTTTTGGTCTACTTGGTCTTGTAGCTATTGACAAAGGTGTGTTGGTCTCCTATGTAACTGTGGATTTGTCTGTCACCTTTTAGTTTTGTATACTTTTTGTTTTAAATGTGTTTAGGCTTTCTTATGGGGTCCATTGATTTAGAATTGTGCTATCTTGGCTAGATGTGATGGCTCACGCCTGTATTCTCAGCACTTTGGGAGGCCGAGGTGGGAGGATTGCTTGAGCCCAGTAGTTAGAGACTGGCCTGGGAAACATAGTAAGACCGCATCTTTAGAAAAAATGAGAAAAATTAGTGGTGTGTGGGAGCTCACACCTGTAGTTCTAGCTACTTTGGTGGCTGGGGTGGGAGGATCACTTGAGCCCAGGAATTTGAGGTTGCAGTGAGCTATAATCACACCACTGTTCTCCAGCCTGGGTGACAGCATGAGACCCTGTCTCAATACAGACGAAAGAATTATGCTATCTTCTTGTTGATATGACTTTTTAATTATTAAGAAATGCTTTTATCTTTAGTAATACGTGTTGCCTTAAGTGTACTTTGCGTGATATTGGCATAGTGATGCCACCTTTCTTTTTGTTGGGGTTTGAATGGTATATCTTTTCATATCATTTTGCATTCGCTTCTTCTATATTTATAGTCTTCTACTAGAGTGTTGAACATAATAATGGATATAATTTGAGTTTAAGTTACAAACCTTACTATTTGTCTTACATTTATCCACAGATCTATGCTACTTTTTCTCTTACGTCTTACTTTCTTTGGTTTAGTCAAATGTTTTTACTTATTCTTTTTATCTCCTCAGTTTGCTTTTAGTGAATATCTTAGAGATTACTACATGACTTTTTGAGTTATTGAAGTCTAACATGAATTATTACTTCTGTTCTCGGGTAATACAGATATCTTAGAAACTTCAATTCCATTACCCTACTCCTTCCTTTTCTATTGTTGTCATGCATTTTAAATCTATATATTTTAAAGAACAGCCTATCAATGTTATTTTTATAGTCATTATTTATTAATACTTAAGAACATGTTTACCCTTTCTGTGGCTCTTGTTTTTTGCATGTATATGCTTTTGTCTAGTATCATTTTCCTTCTGGTGGAAGAACTCCCTTTTAGTAATAAATTCTTTGTTTTTTCTTTTGATTTTCATTTGCAAAGATATTTTAAACTGAGAGTAAATTGCTTGATTGGCACCAGTTTTTTTTTTTGCAGAATTTTTAAATCATTTTCTGCTATTCATCATTTCTGTTGAAAGTATCTTTCAGTCTGTTGATTCTTGCTACTTTAAATGTGTTTTTTTGGGGGTCTGGCTGTTTTAAAGATTGTCTTTAGTTTTTAGCAGTTTGGCTATGATTTACTTAGTGTTTTTCTTTGTAATTATTCTGCTTGAGTTTGACAAGCTTCTTCAGATGTGGCTTCATGTCTTTAATTAATGTTAGACAATTCTTGGTTGCTAGCACTTCATATATTGCTTCTTCCCAGTTTTCACACTGCTATGAAATTTCAGTTATACATATGATACAACTTTTCAGTGGTTCCATATGCGTCTGGTACTCTTTTCTATAATTTTTTGTCTTCATCTCTCTATGCTTTGGTTTGGATATTTTCTGTTGACCTGTGTCCCACTTCATGTTTGCTCTATTTAATCTGCCGGACACACCAAGTACTTACAACACTTTTGGAAAATTTTGCTGTGAAGAAGAGTGAGGATATAAGAGCCGTCATTGAATTGTGGTGGAGTAAAGAGTGGGGCTTTATTTTTGAACAAGATAGACTAAAATATGTTTATGTTATGATTGGAATGATTCAGGAGAGAGAAAAAACATTAAAGCTGTTTCAGAGAAAAGGAAGATGATTTTTTAAAATAAAATTCTTGGGAAGGTGAGAGTGAATGTAATGCAAAGCAGTCAGAGAGTTTTCCTTTGGTAGGAGTGGGACATGGAATAGGCATGGATTCATGTGTAGCTGTAGTCTTGGGAGATAGAATTCTGGCTTGACCAGTAGAAATTCTGCAGGTACAGTCGGTTTCTAGAATGTGTGTGTGTGGGGATGTGTGTTTGTGCATCATGTGGGAAAATTGTCCAAGAATGGAGAGTCAAGTAAAAGGTAGACAGTATTTATAGCTCCCTAATTGTGTTTTCTATTTCTGTGCATCCTCAGTGATAGCTGCTTTTATTTCTTAGGGTAGTCAAAAGTATTGTATTTTTTTAAGGAACTATTTAAATGTTTAATAGTCTTTTTTGTCATATAGTTACAGTTGTGTACTATATATTTAAACATAGTTAATTATCTTTTTCTGGTTTACCACTTTTATTATTTTTTAAATTTTCTATTATGGGTAAAAGTTGTATATATTTATGGGGTAAATTTAGTTAATTCTTTATAATGAATTTTAAATTAATTCTTAGTATTTTGGATAGACAATCAAGTTTTCGTTTTTCTTTTAAAATTTTTATCATAGTAGGTATATATATGGGGTACATGAAATGTTTTGATACAGGCATGCAATGTTAAATAAGCACATTATGAAGAATGGGGTAGCTGTCCTCTCAATCATTTATTTATTGAGTTGCAAACAGTCCAGTTGCACTCTTTAAGTTATTAAAAAATGTACAGTTATTGACTATAGCCACCCTCTCATGCTATGAAAATCAAGTTTTCTTAAACACATTTTCCTATATTTTCTTTTACAGTTTTGCAGTAGAATAGTATAACCATGTTTCGGAATAGTCTCAAGATGCTGCTTACTGGTGGGAAATCAAGTCGTAAAAACAGGTCAAGTGGTAAGTGACTATGCTACATTTATTATGTATGATATTTTACAAATGCAAATTCTTTTAGGGTCCTGAATTAATGCTGTAACACTTCGTTAAATGCTTAACTTAGAACCTAAAAGAAAGTTTACATTTCTTTGGGCTTTCATACAAGAGGTAGGAACACTTGAATGCTTATCAGGAACAGTCGAGAGAAAAGAAAACCTTGCGAAGGAAAAATATTTATTTCTAATATATGAGAGAGTAATGTTTCTGTGCATTTGCTTATTAAAAACCTTCTAGACCTAAGTTTATTTTTTTGAATTAACACGTGAAATTATTGCAATCCTAGGCACTCACTGGGGAAGGAAATTATAAAAATAACTGTCCTCAAAGATTTATACAGAAAGTGAAATATCAGTTGAACATTTTTATAGCCATTAAAATAAAGTTTATGGGTTTTGTTTTTTTTTTTTTAGAACAAGGGGTTAAGTCTTAGGCTTTTGAGGTAAAACTGTATATACTTTCTTGGTAAAAAATATTGAAAAGGAATGTATCAGAATGTTTGTTTTTTATTAATGAGTGGTAGACTTTTATTGTATTCTTCATAATCTTTTCAACTTATTTTTCTTGTAAATTTTTATTGGTACTGTATTTATTGTCATTCATTTCAGAATGTTTCTGTAATTCTGATTGTGATTTCTTCTTGACCCATGAGTATTTAGAAATGTATTTACTGATTTCCAAACTGTTGATGAGTTTTTGTTTATCGTATTGCAAGAACAAACTCCTCTACATCAACAAAAGAAAAACTTCTTTCCTCCACTGCTCACACCACCGTTTCTGGCCACCAAATATGTGGGGTTTTTTTTCCTACAGTGATTCAGTTCAGTTCTCTGGTAGACACCAACTGAATGTCCTACAATTAAATTCAATTCTGACACTGTCTACCCTGAGTTAGCACAGACCCCATGGGTTATGGTCTCAGTCCTACAAGACTGCTTTCCACTTCAGATACCAATTGCGTGTGGTGGATCCCCAGGTTACCCACAACCTCTGTCCGACTTGGCTACAAATCAGAGGTTCCCATGACCCGTTTCTCAGGTTCTATCATTTGCTAGAATGGTGCACACAACTCGAGAAAACAGTTTCTTTACAAGATTATTGGGCTATTAAAGAATACAGTTCAGGAAGAGTCAGATGGAAGATGTGGGTAGGGCAAGGTATGGGGGAAAGGGCCATGGGCTTCCGTGCCCTTTTTGGGTATGCCACCTTCTCAACATCTTCCATGTGTTCATCAACCCAGAATCCCATCGAACCCCATCCTTTTGGGTTTTTATGGAGGCTCCATTATGCAGATATGGTTAATTAATTGGCCATTGGTGATGAACTCAACCTCTAGCCCATCTCTCCTCTCCAGAAGTTAGAGGGTAAGGCTGACTCTCATGGTTGGCCCCCCGGCAGCCAGCACGTGTCCTGAGGCTGTTCAGGAGCCCCCAGGTACCTACCATTCATCCCGTTAGCATATGGAAAACCACTTATCACTCCGAAGACTCAAAGTTTTAGACCCGTGTGCCAGGAAATGAGCAAAGACAAATATGTTTTTTTGTTGTTTTTTTTTTGTATGTGTGTTTTTTTTAACTATGTCATGCTGCTTCTTATTGAATTCTAGCTTAATTGTACTATTAGAGAATCTATTCTGTATTATTTTATTCTTTTGATATTTATTGAGATTTGCTTTACAGTTCATTATATGGTCAGTTTTGGTAAATGTTCTGAATGTACCTGAAAGTAATGTGAATGTTGTGGTTATTGGATTCAGTGTGGATCAGTTTTGTTAATGATGGCACTCAAACATTTCATATCCTTACTTACTTAAAAAATTATTTACTGAGAAAGGTGTGACAAAATACCACATTATGATTGTGAATTTGCTTATTTCTCCTGCTGGTGCCTGAGAATTTTTGCTTTATATGTTTGGAAACTGTCTTATTAGGATCATTCAAGTTTAGGATTGTTATATCTTCCTGGTGAATTGACCTTTTTACCATTATGAAATGTTTCTGTTTATTTCTAATAGTGACTTTTGTTTAAAAGTTCATTTTTTCTCTCATATTAGCATAAGGACTGCAGGGTTTTTTAAATTAGTATTTGCAAAATATGACTTCTTTCATAGTTTTACTCTCAACATTTCTGTGTGCTTATGCTGTTAATAGCATATAGTTGGGTTTTCTTTTCTTTTATTCAGACATTTTTTTTTTCTCTTAAGAAAGTCTGGTCTACATTAATTTGGTCAGTCATATGTTTAGGTATCTGTGTGCTTTCTACTTGGCGTATCCATTCTATGCTTCTTTCTCTCCTATCTTTCTTTCTCTTTCCTCTCTCCTTTTGCATCGATCAAAACTTTTTTTTTTTTTTTTTTTTGAGAGACAGGGTCTCACTCTGTTGCCCAGTCTGGAGTCTAGGGACACAAACACAGCTCACTGCAACCTCAACCTCCTTTGCTCAAGCAATACTCCCACATCAGCCTCCTGAGTAGCTGGGACTACAGGTGTACACCACCACACCCAGCTAATTTTTTAAAAAAATATTTTGTAGGGATGAGATCTTAGTACTTTGTCCAGGCTGTTCTTGAACTCCTGGGGTGAAGTGATCCTCATGCCTTGGCCTTCCAAAGTGTTGGGATTACAGGTGTGAGCCACCATGCCTGGACTCAAAACATTTTTTATGATTCCATGTTTTCCTCTATTAACTTTGAAATTATATACCCTTTTGAAATTTTTTCAGTGGTTACCTAAAGATGAAAACAATCCTAAGTTTATCGAAGTTTGATATTTAATTGGTATGTTTACCCTCTTCTTGGACAGTGCAAGAGCTTTAGATTCTCTTCACCTATCTTTAACCTCCACAAGACATTACTGTTCTATGTAATCACTGTTACTTAGATATGCCCATATATTTGACCCTTTCTTTGATTTTCATTCCTTCCTGCACCCCAAACTTTCTAGATAGAAGTAACTTTATCTGAATAACACCCTTTGTTTTGTTTTATTTTATTTTATTTTTAGAGACAAGGTCTTGCTGTCACCAAGGCTGGAATGCAATAGCACTGTGATAGCTCACTGTAACCTCAAACCTCCAGGCTCAAACATTCCTTCCACCTCAGATTCTGGAGTAGCTAGGACTACAGGTGCATACCACTGCACCTGGCTAATTAAAAAAAAATTTTTTTGTAGAGATGAGATCTTGTTACGTTTCCCAAGGTTGGTCTTGAACTCCTAGCCTCAAGTGATCTTCCTGCCTTGGCCTCCCAAAGCTTTGGAATTTCAGACGTGAGCCCCCATACCTGGCCAAGAAGACTCTTTTAGAATTTCCTTTAATGAGGAGTCGTCTATGACAAACTTTACTTTTGTCTGTCTGAAAATGTCTTTATTTTGCCTTCATTTTTGTAAGATTTTTTTTCTTTTTTAAGAGATGGGGTCTCTCTGTGTTTCCCAGGTTGAAGTGCAGTAGCTATTTATAGGTGCAGTCCTAGTGCACTGCAGCCTTTAGACTCCCGGCCTCAGGTGATCCTCCTGCCTTAGCCACCTGAGGAGCTGGACCTACAAGTGGATGCGGCTCTGCCTGGTTACTTCTAGGATACTTTTATGTGACTATAATTCTAGGGTGCAGTTATTTTCTTTCAGTATTTTACAATGTTATTTATTGTCTTCTGGCTTCTTCTATTTTTTTCTGGTGATCAGCTGTCAGTCTAATTGCTACTCCTTTAAAGGCAACCTGCCATTTTTCTCTTTGACGTTTTCTAGATTTATATTGGTATGCCTAAGAGTATTTTCTTTTTTATCTTTATCATTGAAAAAAATCTTTATATTCTGGCCAAGTGTGGTAGCACATGCCTGATAATCCCAGCACTTTGGGAGGCTGAGGCAGGCGGATCGCTTGAGGCCAGAAGTTCAAGACCATCGTGGCCAACATGGCGAAATCCAGTCTCTATTAAAAATGCATAAATTAGCCAGATGTGTTGGCACATGCCTGTAATCTCAGCTACTTGGGAAGCTGAGGCAGGAGAATCTCTTGAGCCTGGGAGGCGGAGGTTGCAGTGAGCCAAGATTATACCACTGCATTCCAGCCTGGGCGACAGAGTGAGAGACCCTGTCCCAAAAAAACAGAAATCTTTATTGTCTATTCATGTTTTTATTCATGTTTGTAGGATTTCTTGACTCTGTGGCATGTCTTTTGTCAGTTTTGGAAAACTATTACCCATTATATCTTCAGATTTTAGTTTTTCTCTCATTTTTTTCTTTATCTTTTTTTTTTTCTGGAACTCCAGTTATACATTTGATAGACCATACACATATCATCTCTGACTCCTACATTTTCTCTTAATCCTTTCGTCTTTATATGCTTTATGCTGGATATTTTCTTTTGACTTATATGCTTTTCATACTTTTCTTTCTGTTCCTCAGATTGTGTAATCTCAATTGATCTATCTCTAAATTCACTGATTTTTTTCTTTTGTCTGCTCAAGTCTGCTATCATGTCTACTGACATTTTTTTCGATTATTGAATTTTTCATCTCCAGAATTTCTATTTGATTCATTAAAAATTTTAAATCTCTGTTGGTATTCTTTATTTGGTGAGACATTGTTCTCATATTTACATTAAGTTCTACTGACATAGTATCCTTTAGTCTTTTGAACATATTTAAAATAGGCAATTTGAAGTTGCTGAGTATCTCCAACATCAGGGCTTTCCTCAGAGACAATGTCCATTGTTTGCATTTTGCCCCTTGTGTATAGGCCATACTTTCTGGTATCTTTGTATGTCTCGTAATTTTTTGTTGAATCCTGGACATTTTAGATTATATAATGTGTTATCTCTGGAAATCAGATTTTCCTCCTCCCCAGGGATTTATTTATGTTGTTTTGATTATTTGTTTAGTGACTTCTCTGAACTAATTCTCCAGAGTCTGTGTTACTGTGCATGGCCACTGAAGTCTCAGGTTGGTTTGTTCAGTGGTCAGTTCATAC